ATATTGCCTCTGGCATTTGAAATGCTTCGCATAGTCGTGGGTCTTTGTGCGATTGCCGAAGCACTGCAGCATGTCCACATTCTGTGGGGGCTCGGGTATGCCTCGCTCCGGCTGCGCCTTCATGGCGCGCAGCTCTTCCCGTAACCTGGGCAGCAGGTCGAAGACCAATGTGTTGGTAGTTGTATAATTATCCTTCAGCTCCGTAGTATCCATTAATTTAACATTGGATGTGGTGCCCGCGTAGAAGTTACGAACACGCGTCACGTGTTTCTCCTTGAAATATTGCTTGCAATCACCCATATAGGCTGCATTCGTGTACGTGTCCTGGCTGAGCGAGCGGAGCTTCTCGCATTGGTCCGATGGACATAGTCCTGGCAAAATGCCGCTGGTCTTTTCATCGAACGCATAGCGACGATCCACCCAATTGCCAATCAACACTTTCTTGCTATACGGCGGCACAACTATATTATCCATTCGGAACTAATTCAAAAGCTATCCCCCAAACAAAGAACCAAACAAAAACTACGAAAAAAAAAAAACAAAATCTGTAAATTGCTTCGAAAACTCTAACACAACGCTCTGAAAGTAACACAAAACAAATGCTTCAAAACATACTCAAAATGCCTGGATGAACAGATAGATCTACATATTGCTTTGAAACATGCAAGATCCCGAGTTGAACATTTGATTCCGTATTTCCTGCCTAAATCACGAGTTAATCTTTGAAAGTATTTTTTTACCATCAAGTTTTGTACTCGACACAATTTATTCGCAACTGGTCCAATTCAGGGTTAATTTTACAATTTTAAATATAAAAACGAAACCCAGTCGCTCCTTATGTCAGTCTGGCGATCATATCTTTCATTTTGGCACTCTTCACTGGGCTGGCATATCTTCCCGTGAAGTCAAGGTTGTAGTTTGAGCCTATCAGGCATGGTTCTATGCAAACCGAGCGCTTGATTGAACTATGACTGCCAAACGAATCGAGGCTGTCGAGTTTCCGGTCATGCAGATGCTTCGGAAGGGCATCCTGTTCGGACACTTTCTTTTGTGCAAGCTCACGTTCCTCCTTCAGTATCTTGGGCCACAACTCGTACACCAAATGATTCAGTGACGTAAAGTTGTTCATATATTTCTCGGCATCCAGGTACTTACTGCTGGAGCGTTGTGACACAAAATTGGCATGCTTTCCCAGCCTCGAATCGATGTAGACGCGTGTCATGTCGTTTTGCTCTAAGCCCTCCACTGAATAGGCCTCCTCGCTAGTTGTCACATGCCGCTCACATCCTTTTTGCTGCAAGGTCTCTTCCAAGACGCATGGCACTATGGCCGTGCTGCTCTGTGGAGAATTGGCATAACGCGTCTGGAACCAGTTGCCGGTTAAAACGTCGCAGCTGTAAACTGGCTTTGTGTCCATATAGCTGTAACGGGCATCCTTCTTGACATCATCCTCCTCTTGCATCATCTTATGCGAAAACGTAAAAATAAAATTATTGTGGAAAAATGTAAATATATGAAAAGATGTATAACAACTAAGTGACATAAAATAGTAAAAGTTACTAAAAAAAAAAAAAGTATTCAATCTTTACGCCACCTTTGATACATATTTTGTTTCCTATGTATTTATAGATATACATAAATACATATAAATAAGCCGCACCCAAAATATACCCTTTCACACTTCCTTTGAGTCAGCAGCTCCCAATAAAAGCATGTTGACTTTAAATTGACTGTTAAATTGTGAGTGGCTTGGTCAAACTAACAGAGTGTTAATTATGAGTGATTTAAGCGGACGAAAAGACCGGCGCCCAGAAAATAAGCAAGCGATCGAAATTCGACTGTGAGCGATGCACCAGCGAACACCCACACAAACACGTGTATGCGCAGAGATGAGCCAAAGCCAGAGATAAGCAGCCACCTGTTTGTGTGGGTGTTCGCTGTCATTTATCTACTTATGCTCACGCGCTCACGATGCTTTTCGGTGCTGATCGCTGATTGGTCCAATCAATATTTGCTGGCATTTATATTCTCGTCTGCTCGTTTGCGTGCTCTATTTTCTGAGCGCCGTTGTTTGGTGCGCTGTGGACCTGCGCAACTTAATTCTGAGTTAGTGTGGCCCCATTAATCAATATGGCATGCAGTTATACAGTGAGTGATAGTATATTTATTTTGCTTGTAAGGGCAGGTACTGTCCTTTTTTAATAATATACCTTTTTAACTAATACCTTAAAAACTATTAATTAACTTACTATGTAATATAATATTTAAATATTTATATATATATATTTATAAATATATTTATATATATATATGTATGTATTTATGCATATATGTATTTATATTTACATATTTATAAATATATTTAAATATTTATATATTATATTACTAGCGAGGAGCCGCCCTTTACATTCCACAACTTGGGGCTGTGCAAAATTCTAAACGTGCATTAATGTGAAATTGACTACGAGCGCCAAACTAACAGAGAACTAATATTAGCGAGCGCAAAGCAAATGGACATGTCTCTTTTTGAGCTATTAGCAGACATATACACATACACCTGTATGCATTTGGCGATTATCTCTGCATACATATGTTGTGTGTGTGTTTTCTTGAGTGATATCTACTTATGCTTGTGTGTGCATGCCTATGCGTTATCTATATTTGTATGGCGCTCACTTGAGCTTTCTTTGTTCTTTCTCAATTTGCTGAGCTGATTTTCGTCCAGTTTGCGTCCGCACTTACATTCTGTCTGATTTATAATATATGTATAATTTGTGAAATTCTATAATAAATACCGTCCGAATGGTACAAGTTTTAAAACTCATACGAATATATGTATGTATTTAATACTGTGTCATCTGCGTACAATGCATGGAGCTCACAAACTTTTGTCGATGCTTATCGCACATTGGTACAATCATAGATTCGTATGCTTGCTCAATTTAATAATATTATTTTGCTGCTAATTTGCATTCCAAAATTAAAGTAATATTTATTTATTAATATTGTTATCTGAAATCTGACTCTTTTGGGTCATTACGAGCAACATTCAATTTGCGCCTGTGCAGAATTTTCGCCCTGTATTAATGTTCAAATGACTATTTAAAGCGATAAGCGCATGTGTACATACACACATATTCCGCGATGCCTTCTGTCTGCACATATGTATGTATGTATGTGTGTGTGTGTCTCCTATGTATGTATGCATGTACATGTTTATGGATGTGTGTGTTTTGTGCTTACACAAAACTAAGTTTGGCGAGGAACGAAAAAGGGAACAATTAGAGCAAGTCTTGTTGCTGCTCACCAAAATTCGGGAGTGCGCGACGACAATGTATGTACGTATGTATGTATGTAGGTAATGCACAAACACGCAAACATACATAATTTTGTACATTTGTGACGATTGCCTCTGCCCTTATTCTATTTATGCATGTGTATCATTGCTTGTTAGTTATCTACCTTCGAATGGCGCTCTCTCGAGTTTACAGTTTGCTTTCTCAATTTGCTCTGCGATGATTTTTTCCCACTTTGCGTCTGCGCAACGTAATTCTGTTTTAGTTGAGTGCCAGCAGTCGAGTAAAGCTGATTAAAAATATTATTATTGAGAATTCTCGGGTAAATACCGTCCGTATATCTAGTGCAATACGTTTTCGGACTCGTACGGATCGGAAGTATTAATTTACATTTAAAAAAGTGGTATTTTAAAGTTTAACAAAATACCGCTATCTGAAATTGGACTTAAATAAACCGATATAAGCCATTCAGAGTTTACTAAAAAATAATAAATTGATCATTTCGTAAGAGCCCGATGAATAAGAAAATAATACTCTAGCATGCATATACACATATGTAAGTACGCACGTGCAATTTTGCCGATTCTCTCTGCCTACATACTTATGTTTGGGTGTGTGTTTTCGCAATTTATATCTATTTATGATTGTGTGTAATTGCTTATGCGTTTTCTACCGCTCACACGAATTATTGTTGCTGCTTAACGCTTCAAAAAAGAATTTATCTTGTGATCATTTGCTTGCTCTGTGCGCGGAGTAAAAATTGTGCATTGTGTACATATGTAATTAAGCTGACTGTTAAGTTGTGAGTGACTTAAGCGGACGAAAAGACCGGCGCCCAGAAAATAAGCAAGCGATCGAAATTCGAGTGTGAGCGATGCACCAGCGAACACCCACACAAACACGTGTATGCGCAGAGATGAGCCAAAGCCAGAGATAAGCAGCCACCGGTTTGTGTGGGTGTTCGCTGTCATTTATCTACTTATGCTCACGCGCTCACGATGCTTTTCGGTGCTGATCGCTGATTGGTCCAATCAATAATTGCTGGCATTCATGTTCTCGTCTGCTCGTTTGCGTGCTCTATTTTCTGAGCGCCGTAGTTTGGTGCGCTGTGGACCTGCGCAACTTTATTCGCAGTTAGTGTGGCCACATCAGTCAATCTGTTGAGCCTTTTATTATTTTGTTATAAATTTTTGTGGATGTGATGCATAAGTAGATAATGCACTAGCACGCATGTACACATATGTCCGTGCATATTTGCCGATTCTATCTGCATACATACAATGTTGAGTTTTCGCAATCGATATATAGTACATTTACTTATGCTTGTGTGAGATTGCTTATGCGTTATCTACCTTTGAACGGCGGTCACTCGAGTTGCTGTGCGGCGATTTTTGTCTTTTTTGTTTTGGTTTAATGCCAGCTGTCGATAAATATGATAAGTGAAAATTCTCTGGTAATATCGTCCGGAGCTGTAATGGCATACGTTCTCGGATTCGTACTTATCGGGCGTATCAACTGACATGTAAAAAAAATCGCCTTTTGAGGTCAAAGTGGTTGCCAAATTTTAGTCGGATGTGAAATCTAAATTCTTTAGAGTTCTATTGATTGGGAAGACTTTTAGGGTTCCCTAAAGGTAATAAAACCGATTTACAGTCGTTTAAAACCAAATACTAATTTTTTTTTTTTTTAATTTTGTAGCCAAACCTCCCATGCTCAAGAAAACATTCAAAACTGTTGGTATCTAGATGACTATGGTTATTTTATACAATGGATATATATTTAACAAAATCTTATTTTATATTTTGACCAACTGCCAATGGTTATATCAAAGTTGTTACCAGTCTGGGTTAGTTCTGAATGGGTTAAAGGCTTGCCCAAATCCTAAAAGGTATGTCTTTCCAAAGTCCGACGTAATTAAACCGATATATTTTATTTCACAAACACTAATTAATTTTTCATTATGTTCATTTCAGCCAAATCTGCTAAGCTTATGGACAGTAATATTTTCAGTATCATCGGTACCTAGAAATTCCTATATATAGACAATTAAAAAAGAAAAGTAAAGTTGTTGCCAAATCTGGTTCTGAAATCCAACTTTGTAGAATCCTCAAAGGTATTCAATCAATATATTTTTGTTTACAAAAACTAATAAATTTTTCATTTTGTATTTTTCAGCCTCATCTGAGCACGAAAACTGTGACTGGAGCTAAAATTATTTAAACAAATTCCTAAGAAAGCAGCTAATTAATACGATAAATAAAAAAAGGATAATACCCTTTCAGACTCCCCCGAGTCAGCCGACTGGTCCTAATATAAAAATGAACGTATTGACTTTAAGTTGATTGTTAAATTGTGAATGACTTAAGCGGACGAAAAAGCTGGCGCACATGTATGCCTCTTAAAAATCGGACGTATTTTAAATTAACAAATTGTTTATCTTGTATTTTCCAGCCAAATCTGCCACGCCCATGGACAACATATCGCTATTCATGGTACCTATTTGACCTATATATCCTTGGTTATACCATATTAAGGATACAGTCGTAGCGAACCTAAAAGACCAAGTTCTCGTAAAATGCGCAAGAACATGGTCCAAAAACATGTATGCTTCTTTTTACAGCCGCCCCCTGGATGGTTTCTAGTTGACTAGCATATCCTTGGTTGTACCATACCATTGATATAGTCCTTGTTAACCTAAAGGATCAGATCCCTGCAAAATGTGCATTGAAATGATCCAAAAAAATGCATGATTTTTTTTCAGGAGCCCTTTTACATTACCTGCAGCTGCAGCTGTTGTTTCACAGCCGCCTTACAGCACTCATTTTACATGATCTGTTACTTAACACTACTCATTTTAATTGAGTTACATTTCTGAAAATTTTTATTCGAAGAACTCGTCGACCTTCTGGGCATTTATGTTCGCCTGGTACTTGAGCGGAATTTAGGCCAAATTTGGGACCGGCGGTGAGGGTGCCCCTTTTTACTACGTCACTTTTCGGCCGCAAAAATATAAATTCTCGACCTTCTGGGCATTTCTGTTCGCCTGGTATTTTTGGGAAATTTTAGTAAAAATTTGGGACCCAGCCGGCCACGATGGCGCCCCTTTTGGGTATGCTATGAAATTTTTCGGCAGAAAAAAAATATTTTTTGTCGACCTTCTGGGCATTTCTGTTCGCCTGGTATTTTGGCAGATTTTAAGAAAAATCTCGGCAACCTGCGGTTGCCAACAGACGGTCCTGACGGGTATGCAATGGTTTTTGAAGACCGTTGAATTTTTAAATAAAAAAACAGGAATTTCTTTTTATTTTAAATAATTGATTTATTTATGTTCAAATTTACAAAATTATTGATTTTTATGCTAATTTTCTTAATTATTTCTCTTAAAATAATATAAAACGAGCATAAATTATAATTGTTGCTTATTTGAACTTAAAATAGCTATATCAGGCTTAATTAAAGTCCGATCCTGGAAAAATTGGCGTTATCAGTCGTGGAGGTCCTTAGAGCTTATAGTAGTCCTTGATTTGTCAGTCTGAAAAAATAAAAACACATTTAAATTAAACAAGTAAATAAATATATAAAAGCTTTTATGTAAGGAAAATAGACCATAACTCGGTCATGTCCTTGCAGATTTTCAAAGGACATGGTGCGTTAGGATCGTATAGACCCCCTGCATCGATTTGCATCAAAAAAATATGGGGTCATCTAAGAATCCCTGGACTTGTATTTTCACTTGTAAAATTTGAGTCGCGGAGCGGACGGAAATGGCCAGAAAACACAAATCCTTAAATATTTCATAAACTACAAGGACGATCTCAATGAAATTTGGCCAGTTGGTAGTCCTGGTTAATACAATTTTTTTGACACATGACTTGCAAGGATACGCAAGGATACAGCCAAGTTATGGCCTATTTTTAGTAAACAAAATTGTCCTTAAAAATTTTGTCTGAAGGACTTTCGTCCTTTGGGTTGTTAATTATTAAATGAGGGGGTGAGGACTATCTGCTGGCCAAAGGACATCCCGATAGTCCTTCAAATGGCGAAGTTAGCCCGGATATTTTCGATTTTGGCCATTTTTGTGACCAAACCCCTAGGAAAAAATTTGGTGAAATTTTTTGTCGAATCCTTAAAATCCTTGAATGCCAGTCGATAGTTCTGCTCCCCACGAGTTCAAAAAGGCATATCCTTTCGATATCCTTAAGGACTTGGCCGAGTTAAGGCCATTTAAAAAATGTCCTTTTTAGAAAATTGGCCATATTTCGGAAACGACGAGGACGATTTTGTTGTCCTTTGGCCAGTTTATGGTCCTTGTTCATACGATTTGTTTGACACAGGACTTGTCAGGATCCGCAAGGATACGGCCGAGTATTAGCTTTGTTAATTTACAAAAGAATTGTACTTATTTCTAGACAGTCTGAAGGACTTTCGTCCTTTTTATTGTATATTCTGAATTAGGAGGATGAGGACTATTGGTTGGCCGAAGGACATCATGATCCGCAACGATACGGCCGATCAACAGGTCTCTCTCTCTTGACTGGCAAATATATCTTTTACTCAGCTCCTTGAAGGACTTTCGTCCTTTTTATTGCATATTCTAGGCTGGCAAGGCAAGGACTACATGATGGCCAAAGGACTTCAGGATTGTGCTTGAAATGGCCACTTTATGGCCGTTTGAATGTCCTTTTTATACATATAGAGATATCTTGAAAACCACAAGGATGATTTTGATATGTATTGCACAGTTGGTATCCCCGGTCTTTAAAAATTGTTTGTTACAGGACTCGTCAGGTTCCAACAGATTTAACCGAGCTTTGGGCTACTTTCTGTACGGACTAATCTCTTTTTCTCAGCTTTTTAGAGGACTTTCGTCCTTTTTGGCTGTATATTTTAAATTAACGGAATATGGACTTTCTATTGGCCAAAGGGCAAGGATTTTATTTTAAACGGCGAAATTGTGGACGTTTTACACAGGACTCGTCTGGATCGGACATCATCATAGTCCTTGAAGTGGCAATGAGAAGACCGATTTTGTTTTTTGGGCCCAATGTTCTTGAGTTGTGATTAAGATAAAAATGTCCTTTGGCCAAATAGCAGCGCTTTTAATACAAGTCGTTTTACCCAGGACAGTTCGTGATCCGCACGAATGCAACCTACTTACAATGAGCCTCAGATGCGACTTACCTGGCTATCAGCAATCTGCAGGGCATGGCAGCATAAGAGTCGTCCATGCAGGATGCCTGGATGCCACAGTCCGTGGCCTCATCTACCCCGGAAGCTGCCAATACCTTGGTCCTTGCAGGCGGGAGAGAAAAAGCCAACAATCTGCTTCAGGCTGCGATCTTGTAATTGCACGCAGATCATTGGAAAGCGTGCAACACATCCGCTCACATTAGGCTGCTTTAAAACATCCGACATAAAATAAGTAAATCCGTTGTCACAAAATCATCTGCAATCATTGGATAATGTAATATGAACAGAAAGACCTTAAGCTTATGCTCTTGCCTTGTATCACAGGGCGCAACCTGATGTGGCGCTATTCCAGTCTACGTTAAAGGTATCTATCCTCCTGCTCTCCAGGCACTTGGGTTTCGTAATCAGCAAAGGTTACGAACTTTATATATAATGCCAGAAAGGAAATCTTCAACAGCAGCACATTCATCGAATGCTTCGAATTCAAGTTAGTCCGAGATAGTTCCGATTCCGATTTGTTCAAACGAATCCATGCAATGAATTCCTAAGTAATCCAAAGTCCGGTTTGTTGCGCCCAGGCAATCATCTTAATATATGTGCTGCCTGTTGAGATGAAATCAATCAATAATGGAAATACATTGTAAATGAAAATATCTTACCTAAATGTGTATATATACATATATGTATTTGTATATACACATGCATACGTCTCCTTTGGAGCTATGTCGCTTTAAAACGACATAATTGCGCACGGAGATGCCGGGGTCGGACCCCTTAAAATCGCTTTATGGGGGTTGGTCAAATAGATTGGCAATCGATCAATTCCATAATCGAGGATTACATTAAAATCGCTTACAAAAAACGGATCGGTTGTGATGTCAAACATTTTCTGAAGATTTTTTTTAATGTCTCGGCCCGATTTTGGAATGATATAACATTTAGGGAATAAAAAGTTTCTGGAGCTTTCAAAATACCATGGCATAATGCGCTAGAAATTTCCAACAAAACGCTACGTTTGTTTTGTACTACATAAATTTAGTTTTATTAGTAAATATTTGTTTTCTGCTTTTTGTTAATTTTTTGGTGATACACATTAAATACTTATAATGGTTTTAATTATTATATACTTGTATATTGTTAGTTGTATAATTTATTTAGTATTTCTTATTTTTTTTGTTTTTTTAGTTTTTTAGAGCGCATTTTAGTAAACTAAAACGAGAAGTTTTGAAATTTTTGGTTGGGTCGTAGTTCAGTTTTAGGTAAGCTATGTAGGTCGATTTGCGTAAGTTTAGTTAAGTGTTATCGTGAAAGCTAGTAGAAACAGAAACAAACAGTTCGAAGGTTAAGATATATTTGAAAATATTAGTATTTGCATCGTTTAGCTCTAATACGGATATTTCATCTATATATATATCATATAAGCTTACATTTAATAGCACAGTTAGACATAGTTTTATAGTTTTAAGTATTCTCATTTTTCAAGTTAGCGCATAATTTCGAGAAACAACCAAAATAAACTAATTCCAGTGATTTGTACAAGACATTTGAGTCAAAATTAACTAATTAAAAATATAAGATCTATTAAATAGAGCAGAAATTGAAAGGCCATTTATTTGAGCTTTATCGAAATACTACATAGATAGACCATAAATTCGCGGCAATTTTTGACGACATTTAAAAGTTAGCCGTGTGCAAGTGTGTGGAGTTAGTTCTAGACATTTACACAGAGCACATATGATTACGATCGAACAATTTTATATTCGATTTTTTTTTATATGAGAAATTGTTATTTTATTTGAAAGCGTACTATTATTTATAAATAAACTGATTAGCGAGACGAATCTATTTTGGTTGGTATCTGTAAAATTGTCCAAAATTGGGTTTCCGCTTTCATCAAATACATATAAATATATGTGGTATACAAATAGATACCTGTTTGCTAATATTCCACTAATAATTTATTCGTATGTTATTAATTGTATTATTCAGACATTCACATATGCAATTGTTAATTAATTAAATACACTTAATTTACTAATTATTGTTACCATTGTGGATGAGATGTTCTGTGTACTTTGTGTATTAGTTGTATATTTTGTGGATTATGATTTGAGACGTTTACTTGCTTTTTAGGATGATGCCTTTAAATTTAGTTTAAATACTTTCTTAGTTTTTCATTTTTTTTTTTTTTTTTTTGAAATTTTCAATTTTTTTGTTTTCATTTCCATTCTCATGATATATGAGTGTGTGCAGTGTCAGAGTTAAGCTTGATGTTAGTGTGTGTGAACAATTGTGATAAATATTTATGCTTGGTCCATCAAAGTATACAAATTTTGTTCTTAATAAAGAACTTGACTTGATCGACAAAATGCCAAAGAGTGCAATAGATGTTTAAAGTGCGAGCGATCAAAGGCGATTGCTGAGTAGCTTTCTTTGCCTTTTTAGTACAAATGTGATATGCATCATCTAATCTCCTTAATTGGTAATTGATTTCAAATGTCTAGAAGAAATGGTGCTCCAAAAGCTCCGGTGCATTGTGTAACGTTCAAATACTATCGTCGTAAATTGACAATTATGAATTGTAATCGATTCTGTGATTTTGCTGAGCTGTGATGATATGAATTGCATGTTAATGATATTGGTTGACGCTCTAAAGAACATTTAACACTTTGATTTTTGAATATTTAAGAGGTTTGCTTACGGAACCTTTATTATGGTTTTTGTTTTTTTCATATTTATAAGCAATAAATAAATATTTGTTTATTAAATGTTTGCTGCTGTTTCGAGAAATCTACGAAATTTGAATTTCAACTCTAATGAGAACCTATTTTTTACACATATATTCGAATAAAACCATTTGTATTGTTTTCCTTATTGCTTTTTTGTTGCTGTTAACCTAATTGCGACTTGCTGTTGTTAATAAATAAATAGCTGGTGATACCACTTGGTTCTTACGCATATATATATATTTGCAACTAAGGCATTATATTTAACATTATATTTTAACTGTTGTGGTTATTAATTTCATATAAATTCCATTTGATAAATGAATTTTATTTCAGATAACTCAAAGTACACAAATATTTATTGAGAGCGTAATATTGTAAATAAATATTTGAATATTTTGAATTGTCTATTGAACAGAACGTCAATTTTCTGGATCAAAATTGTTTGTTAAGAAAATTTCTCTCGTTTTTTTTTGTTGTCAACGCGCTAGAGTTTTGCTTGTTGTTTTGCACAAATCTGAATTACCGAATAAATCAATTAACAAAATTATTAAAAAACCATTTGCTACGCTTTGCGTTCTCCCCGCTACTCTTATTGCACATTTCATTTTACATTTTGTCGGGAATTTGTTAACTGAATGCAGCTGCCTTTGAATTATTGCTGGATGCTGCTGTTGGAGAAAGATAATAATTATTGGGTTAGTTATCGAAAACATAGTTAGGGTGTCTTTGACTTGATTTAAGAATGAAACATTTATTTCAAAAAATGTAAAATACCTGTTGAGCTAAAAGCGAATAATAATAATCATAATAACTTTATATTAAATATGTGTGAAATATTTCTCGTTTTTATGTGCTTAAAATAATATCACATTAAAATGTTTTGCAGACATTCATTAAGAATGTCAAACACTTTGATACGACCTTAAAACAAAAATCATTAATTTACTAAAGCGCGTAAATGGAAAAGATTTTGATATATTAATATGTTTGGAAGAAAAAGATTCTAATAATAGAAATATTATTCGGTTGCGCTGAGATATGCAGAGATTAGTTTTGTTTTTATAAAGAATTGGTTGAAGCAATTCTTCAAATGGGATTTGCGCAAACTTAAAACTCAATTAAACATGAAATACAACTACAAATTTGTCTACTTACAAAATAAAGAATTTAAAATTATAAAATAAAAATATATAAATTATGCCAAAAACTGAAAAGAGACGCAGCACAAAACACAACACATAATTTCCAGCTTACATTTTTCTACTAATAGATACATACGAAATCGATTGGAATTGGCGGGATCACAAGATTTTAACGAATTTGAATTTCCATTGTTTTGTCATTTATCTGGTTCTGGGTTTGTTGTTCTGTCGTTTTTGAATTCCTTTTGTTTCAATTTAAGTTTGTTTGTTGCTGCTAAGTTGATGTTGGTTTTCTGGCGCTGACTAAGTCAAATGTAAAATTAAACACACTTTTCGCTGAATTGTCGCTCATTTTCTCTCCCGCTCTCTCCCCCGTTCACGCTGCCACGCTCCTCACTTGGTTTTTGCATAGTTTTGCTATTTTTTTGTGATTTTTTGTTTGTTAATTTTTTAATTTACTCGGCTTTTGGGTGCAACTCAGCTCTAGCGCTTGCGTTTTGTCATACAAAGTCCAACTCGGACCGGGTGCTGTACATTTTGCGTTCCAGGGAGCGCTCGAACCACTTCTTTATCTCGGAGACGATCAGCACAGAGGAGGTAAGCGTGACCAGAAAGAGTATGTCGTAGGCGGTGAGCGCTTCTGTTTGGAATACCATTTGGAGCGGTGGAAAATAAACGACCAGCATTTGGCCAATGATCGAGAAGGCAACGGCCAGCAGGAACATCCGATTGGTGGTCAGCCCGATGGTAAAGACGCTCTTCGTCTGCGAGCGACAGGAGAGCGCATTGAACATGTCAAAGAACACAAAGCAAGTGAATGTCATGGTCGTGTCCCGCTTCGTTTTGCCCAACGTGCCATCGGCCATCTCCCGCTGGAACACCCACAATGTGCCCAGCACAATTATGCTGGCGCTGAGCAGCACATTGACCACCACGGATTTGGTGATCATCGGTTGTTTGACGTTGCGCGGCTTCTGCTTGAGCACATCATGATCCACGGGCTCTACGCCCAGCGACTGGGCCGGCGGCCCATCCATTATGATATTGATCCAGAGTATCTGCATCGCGTTCAACGGATTGGCAATGTCCATCAACGTGGCCAGGGCAATCAGTGCCAATGCCGCAATCGAAGTGCTCAGCTGAAAGCGCACAAAGTTCCGAATGTTATAGAAGATGCCTTTGCCTTCCTCAATGGCAGCGCTGCAAGCAAACGTATAAAGTTAATAAATGAAGATATTTAATAAGCAAAGCGAGAGTTGCATGCTTAAGAACTTACGCAAATGAAGGAGTTTTGTCTGTTACTCACATAATGGTGTGGAAATCATCATTGACCAAAATCATGTCAGCCGCCTCCTTGCACACATCGGTGCCGTTCTTGCCCATGGCAATGCCAATGTCCGCCTTCTTGAGGGCAACCCCGTCGTTGACACCATCTCCCGTCATGCCCACAATGTTGCCAGTGCGTTGCAGCGATTTGACAATCTCGAGCTTATGGCGCGGCGAGACACGATAGAAAACACTGACATTGTTGGCCACCTTGTCGAGTTGATGCTCGTTTAATTGATCCATTTCCTGGCCAGATAGGGTCTGGTGATGTATGGTATCAATGCCAATCAGGCTTGCTGAAAATTATAATTGGTGCACTTGTAATAAACGGCATTCCACATAGGATTATTTACTAATTTGTTGCTTAATATTAATGAAAGATATATAACTAAGTTTGTCAATGGCTTAAAGTTGTAATTGGTTATCAAAGGAAATGTATTTCGAATAACTGATTAATAAGTAAATGCGGGTTAACTATAATAATATAATATAAAGGTAATGGTAAAGGTCGCAATACATCTAGCTAAGCTTCGCGTAATCCACCAAGTAATTTAAGCTAACTTGAACTGATATTTCTTTGAATGCCAATAAAAAGCAAGCGATTCCCCTTTTCATTGAATTTTCCAAGCGATTGGCGCAGAGGTAAACAAAGCAACAGGCGAACAAAGAACAAATCAAGTTGGAGTTGGAATTGGGATTGGGAAAGGAGTTCAAGTGAAGGAAACTTGAAGTCTGCACAAAAAACAGTTGTTAATTTGTGAGGGGCGTTGCTGAAAATTCAATTGTGAATCAACATGAAAAACTTCAAAGGGAAACTGCGAGTTAAGCAATTCCCCAATTGCCGTTTCCCACAGATTCCCTTTGGCCTGTTGTTTTTGCACTTGAGCGCATTTATGAAGTACGCTAGGGAGCATCAGCTGCAACAGACAATAATAATAACAAAAACAACAACAACAACAATTAAATCAACAACAAAAGGATGTTTTGCCAAAGTCGCGTCGCCATTTTTCATTATGGCGCCCGCGTATTTGTCTTGGCAAGTGCGAGGACAATCTCTTGTCCTGTTTGTATAAAATTTTTAGCGAAAGCTCACTGAAGTAAATAACAACAAGCAACAGAGACGACAACAACAAAAACAACAACAACAGCAACAACAACAACGAGCACACACAATGGGCAAAAATGTGCATCAAAATGAGCAAAAGGGAACGTAATTAAAACGCATTCAACGTCGTCTTCACACTCATCATCCCCAACGGGTGCTCGGCATCGTCCCGGCGCACAGGACGCCGCGAGAGACAATTAAAAGGAGCATAGCAGCTACCGAGGGATATCTTTTGCTGCCACATTCTGCAGCAGGAAATGGCGAAGGTGGACGCGATGCAGCATCCAGCAAGCTCTTTATTTGGCCGCCTACTCCGCGCCTCCACACGGCTACCCCGTAAATGTCTATCAACAGTTTCATCTTCCTTTGGTGCTCGCTTCTAAATTAAAATTAATGCAAAACTTGAATGTGCGCCATTTTGTTGGCCAAGCAGTTGGCGGTTGCCATTTATGACAAGCAACGGACCAAACGATCCACAAACCGACCACCCAAGCCACCCACCCACCAAGCTACCCACCCACCAAGCCACCCACCACCCAAGCCACCCACCCACCCACTGAACACCCAAACGTCCGTCCGCTTCAGCCAAGTATTCTGGCAAATAGTTTACTTCACCATCCATTAAATTCATTCGGAATATTTTTATGCGCCCTTTTTATGTTCGCATACCCTGTGCACATAAAAATGTGAACGATTTTTTAAGGTGAATTCAATTAAATTAAATTTTTAAAGTTTAAAATGTGATTTGTAGTTTTCCCATAGCAAACACCGAATAAATTTCAGTTTAACTAGTGGAATATCTCTTTGCTGCAGTTAGGTTGATAAATTTTAAAATCTTTCAAATTTTGTTTAACAAAATCCATGCAGCAGGGTATTCTCTAGTCTAGAGTATGTGTTCCGTTTATTATAATTGAAAATTTTTAGCACCTATAAGAAGTTTTTATTTGCATGTTTGATTCGTTTTTGCTTCGTTTATGTCATGTTGATTGTTTTTAATATTTGCCCTGATTTGTATTTGTTTGCTTTATTTTTGTCAAGTATTATTACAACTAATCGTTCAAATAAAGAATACTTTTTCCACTAGCAGAAATTACTTGGAGTTGTCCGAATTATTTGAATAATTATTAAAAGGCAAGTTAAAATTGTTTCTGAAATGCGCGCCAATCAACTATGATTTCTTAGTTTCTACTAATTTATTATTTATAGATTCAATTTATATAGGACCTGCCTGATCCGCTGATCTTTTCCTTTTGGTCACACAAACTATCAGCAACGCCTTCCCACTCTTTGAAGTCGAATCCTCGACTCCAAGGAAGCTTCTGTGAACATTTAAGTGTCCCAGCTCTATCGTTTAACAAACACTTTTATGTACAATTACATAGCTCAAGCAATCGTAAAATAATTATTATTAAATTAGGAGTCATAACATTTGCCATTTGGCATTTGCGATTGCCAGTTGGAGGTGAGCGCACACCTGTGCCAGCAGTTTTCTCACGTGCAATTCATGTTTGCCATTGACCGCAAAATCTATCAATAGCAAACAACCGCAGGTTGAGCATAATCTGCAAATATTGGCAATATGTGTGCATGTGGAGAGAAAAAAATTCAATTTCAAATGGATTTTCAATTTCTGTGCTGATGACAGCAGCACATCTGCCACGCCCAGAAACGAGCAGTCATTAAACCCAGCTACAAGCTACAATCTTCAAAGGCCGCCGTTTTCACACAAACATAAAAGAGAAAAAAAAGTAGAAAAACAATTTTTCATCAAACTTTTTTGTCACCGTGTTCGTTGTGACAAAGGTTGGAAAAAAGACTTAATTGCAATTTGGGATTTTTTTCATTATTATATTGTGCCATGACATGATATTGGAAAATTCGCGCAACGGCTTTTAAAGTCGAGAATGTTCAAAAAATAAATATGTTCATAATATTATGCAAATATAAATATTAATTTGCCCCAACGCAGGTGTTTTTAATATATATTATTTAGAATATTTACTGTGTGTACAAAATGCCAAATATTTGGCCATTGTACACAAATTCGTATCATTATAAATGCTTTAAAAGTGCATTAGTGGAAATAATATCCAAAAAGGCGTCGACCAGCTGGTATAACAGGCCCTCAATACATGTCACAGAGGCTGGTAACAAAAGCACGAACAAATTCGTCAAATTTGAAACTTTGTTATGGTTGATAAATGCCTGGCTAAAATATGTGGAAAATGCATGCAACAAAGTTGAAAGCAACATGAGAGTGAAAGAGCTGAAAAACTTTGTAAAGTTTTTAAAAATTTGTCGCAGCAAACAAAACCGCAGGCCAAAAGCGGATTAGAGAAGTTTTTGCTGGTTGCGGCACAGGCAAAAGTTGCAAGCGTATGAAAATGACGACGGGCAAGTTTATGAAAATATTAAGCGAGCTGCATGCAACAAGCGCATGCAGCATGCCACTTGAGTTGCCAGCCGAAAAAGAGAGAGCAAATGAAAATACAAAAATCAAAATAAAATCAAAGCAGCAAAAAACAAAGGAAAATTCAACGAGCAGCAAAATGGAAGAACAAGCGCTTGCAACAACTTGCACGGAATGTTCTCATTTGGTAATGGAAAATTGTGGGCGTGGTGTTCGCCCCAAGCGAACTGTTTGTGACATTTGCATTTATATCGGTAGCTGCCAACCGACGAGTTGCTGTGGAGGGGAGGGGATTGGATTGCGATTGGGATTGGGTTGTTGCATGCCTCTTGTACTTGTGTTTATTAAGCGACTTTCGTATACGTGACAATTCTTTCAACGCTGCTGCTTCTGCTGCTGCTGCTGATGACTTTCGACTCGCTCCCTTGATGTTTCCTGCTGCCATGGCCAGCGATGCGAGATTATCTCTGGCTTCCGTTTGGCTTTCTGCTCGGGCACATTCTGGGCAGAAGTCAGTCTGCCTTGTTAACCAGCGCCAGGCGTCGCGTCGATTGATGTGCAACACCCTCGGTTGCATGTCAGGGCTCTCCTATTGGATTACAACTGCATTTCCAAATGCACTTCGCTAATTGGATATGTGTCAAGTCTGAGGGAAATGCAGAAGCAGCAGCCGCAGCAGCGATAACATCGCCAGCGTCAGCAACATCTGAAGGCGTGACTCCAGTCCGGATATGTCGCATTGATTAAGATTTGCTTGTGCTTGGCCTTTGCGAAAGCATGCTTTTTTCTTAATTTTCTATCAAGACGTGACTATAAGTTCGGACAAATGCTCATACATTAATGCATCTTTAAACGATGTGAAATCGATGAATTAAATTGAGTAAAAAAAAAACCAATTATTTATGTTTTACAAAGACAGTACTCAGATTGAATTCAAAACTTGCGATTCAAATGAACATACAAATCAAGAAGCATCAGTCTGGCAATTAGAATTTAATATTCATTATTATTGTGGATATTGGTTTTACATCATTCACAATTAATCCATGTGATTAGATTTAAACTTAAGCTTTTCAGTAAATAAACAAAAATGAATCAAGGCATAAAAGATCTAAGTCTATGAAAAAACTTCAATAGTACAAATAGTACAAAATTAACAATCTGGCAAGAACGAAAATGCGAGCGTTTATTTTGCTAGTGTAAGAAATCGATATAGTTATCGATGTAATCGATTCTTCATTATAGCATGTTAATGTCGAGAATATAATTAAAATATGAATTAAAAAAAAAAAATTCTAGGTTTTTTCATAATAATCGATATGACAGGCAACACTAACGATGGAACTGTCGACATTTCCATTACTTTACTCAAATAGGAAAACCATCGAAAGCTTTAGAACATTTTAGCTTACATTAATCTTTAAATACTTAGAAATTTTACAATTGCGGTATTGCCCGACACTCAGCTTGCGGTTGCCATTGAGACGTACAAACCTGAGCCAGAGAAACATTCCGCAAATTAAATTAGCCGTAAAGCAGAAGCAGCTCTATTTAAGCAGCTAACGACAAAACAGGCAAGCAGGCAGCATAATTGGCAACCAAATTGAAAATGAAATACACCAACTCAATTAAGTCTGCTCCAGCTCTCAATATAGCCGTCCGCCTGTCAGTCTGTCCATCATCTATCTATCTATCTATCTATTTGTCTGGGTGCAGTCATCGTCATCCTTAGTAGTCATACTTAGTCGTACATACGAGTATACGTATTCAACAAATTACTGGGGATTAGTTCAACCAAACTGGTCAGTAACTAGACAATAGGCTGTGGGGGGCCAAGCTAGTGGCCAATTAGGTAGGGCATACCCCATAAGCGGATTTTGGGGTCTTTATAATAACAGATAGACGGGGAAACATCGCTGAGGGGAGTGTAGCGGAAACTCATTTGCAATTTGAACGTCAAATTTCAATCAATATGCAGGTCTGCAGCTCGAGGCTTTAAATCAAATTCAGTTACTTCTCCCCGATGAAACGGGCATTCTATAATTATGCCGTTATTCACTGCTCCGAGAGGAAAATTGCAAGCAGCAAAAAAATGGATAAAGAAAAATTAAGCAAGTAAAACATTTTAGATGCCCTGTAGCAAACAAAAAAATACATTAAAAGCAATTATTTAAAAGCTATTAAGCTAAATAAATAAATAAAAAGCTATCGATAGCAATATTTGGGCTAAAAAGAGTAAACATAAACGAAAGATGATTTACTTTTGCGATCTAGTATATGCAGCATTTAACGTATTATTAAGTTGGCTGCGCCTGAGAATGCATTAGTGATGGGCACGCTATTAAGTTGGCTGCGCCTGAGAATGCATAAGTGAAGGCCAAGCTATTAAGTTGGCTGCGGTAGGTTAAGCTAAGTTTAAGTTTAAAGATATTAAGACATGTTACAAACAAACTGTCAAACTCATTATACCCCTCGTATAAGCATATAAAAAAGCTGCAATGTGAATTGAAGTTTTTCAACGTAGGGTATTGTGAAGCAAGAGGTTGCACGGAAAGGTAGTGAAGCTGGAGCTACAAATGGAGCAAAAGTTGTTGTCCATGTTGATGAATTCCTGTTTGCTGCAGACGAAAATGATGACGATGGCGATGGCGATGATGGTGATGATGGTAATGGTGGTGATGGTGATGGTGATGGTGATGAGTCCTGGCGATGACGCTGACGATGACGATGGGGAGTTTGGGCCACAGTTAATTATTTCAGCGACTGACGATGCGGCTGCTGATGGTTCAGATACTTCTGCTTCTGCTGTTGCTACCCCTGTGCGTGGCAGGATATTAGATGTGGGTCTGGTTCTATTCGCCCTGCGGGCGCCAGGACAACAGGCAGCGCTGAGCAGGAGAATGTCGCTACCTGTTTCCTGTACCGTTTTTCCCTTTTCTTCCTCATTTCTTGATTCATTTTTTGTTGCTTTCAGCGCGCTTTGTGCGGTATCTTTTCCAATTTGCTGCGTTCACCTAACCGCATTTTACTGTACACTCAGAAAAAAGAAACGAATTTAGATTGTTATAATTCATTTTTTTTTCTGTTAACCACACTTTCAAAATGCCAAGAACTATTTTCTCTTATTATTATATTCAATCTTGATTTATATCAATATATGTGCCACCCTTTGTATTTTGAGTTACTTTTTTCTGGCAGTGTACATTCCTTGAGCTTGGTGAATTTTTCGTTGCACGCCTCAAACGAGCCGTTGGCGGCTTCTATTTAGGTACTTATATATGGTTAAACTTAAGATCTTTGTAGTTAATGAAAAAGTTGGGCTCAAAGTGCATTCCAGTTGTCATCAGCTTAGGAAGGCACTTTGCACTTTGCTAGCAAATTTTATGGAACTTTCGCAGCAAAATTTCGCTTGCAAACTTGAAAGTTACACTGGAGACGTTCAAGTACAGTTGTCACACACGCTCCTCCGGGAACGGGCGAAGCTAACTTGCATCCAAGTGCAGCTAAACTAAACTAAAAACTTCAAGTGGAACTCGACTTGCGGCTAACTGAGAGCTGAAAGATGAGAGCTGAGAGCTGAGAACTGTGCTCTGAAAACTTTCAGCAGCTTCAACTGACATGGTTAATTAATTCTGTTTGCATACTTTTAGGCTGTCCGGCTGTCAGGACAGGCTGGCAGCCATTGTATGTGGCTCACGCCCTTAACCCTTGACTTCTGAGTGCCAGCCATGCATAGATACACTCGCACACATACATCATAGTCCAGTCTTGAAAACATTTTAGTGCCGGGCATAAATTGTGGTGATTTAAGCAAAGAGTAGGGGGGGGGGGGGGGGGCACTTGTGGGCGTGCCGGGCTGCCACTTTTAATTACGCAGCGTTGACAAATTTATTTGCATAGTTTTGGGCTCGCTGGCACTTAAGTTAAAGCCAACAATTTGTGGCTAACATGAGCACATCCTAAAGAGCTTTTAATTGAGTTTTGAGTTAAGATTATGCCAAAAAGAAAGTAAATTTGTCAGCTCAGTCCGAGATATTTGTTGGCTTATTTGGCATTTGAATTCAATTAGGCAGAAAAGTTTGTCGACCCTAACCAGCTGAAACGGAGCGCAGAAAAACGTTTCTTAACTGGATTTGACAGATGCGCCGCTGATCGAAGAGACAAATGGAAAAACTTCTATGGGAAAATCATTTTGCAAACGTTTTCAACTAATTGACAAGATGAAAAGAAAGCGAATAAGCTGTGCCAAAAGATTAAATATATGCCTAATATTTTTCTATATTTACAGGGTTTGTACCGGACCCAGATCTAACCATTAAATCGAACTTTAAGCCGGACTAATTGAATAAAAAGTAGCCAAACACGAACCGATTCAAGTTTTTCCGGGTTTGGACGTAGCTTGCTACGTTCGGGCTCATACCAAGGCTCAAGGATATGCAAAACTAGGTGTACAAACTGAGGTCTTGGCTTAATCCGGAAACGTTTAATGGGTTTTCAGCCATCGTTTTTCATTCAAAATATCAGTTATTTACTACCAATCAAATAATATAGCCAAAGTAATTATTTATTATCGACCGATTGCTACTGTGGGCAACTTAGGCATATGTAATGCAGAGAGGGATCGGATCTATGAGACACATGGACATAGCCAAGTCATTTTACTAACTTTAATGGTTAATTCATGGCGTTTCGGGATCAAAATTATAAGGAAACCGTAAATAAAAGCTTCCCAAAATATAACCCCTTTCATTTTCGTTCAGTAAATCATTTGTCAAAAACTTACCAATAGCCATTGCCGTCTCCTGGGCATCGCCAGTGACCATCTTGACACGAACGCCGCTCTGCATCAGCATCTCAATGGACTCCCGGACGAGGGGTCGCGGCGGATCGGTGATGCCGACCAAGCCGCAATAGATCAAGTCCTGCATGGATCTGCCTTTGGCCAGGGCCAGCACGCGTAAGCCTTTGCGTCCAATTTCATAGGCCTCGGCCAGGAACTCGGCCTCGTTCTGCTTGGTGAGGGGCACGGTTTGGGTGCCAAATTGATATTTGGTGCATTGGGGTAGCAGCATTTCGAGTGCGCCCTTGGCAAAGAAGATTTCCTCCTTGTTGTTGTTGTATTTGTGTATGCATTTGACGGCCATCATCTTTTGCTCCGAGCTGAAGGGATACTCCTGGATGCGCACATAGTTCTCGGCCGTGGCATACATGCCATTCTTCATGGCAACGGCAACGAGAGCACCCTCTGTCGGCTGTCCCAGGAGCGTGCCGTTCTGTATGTAGGCATTGTTGCAAACGGCGCCAATCTCTAGGAGATTCGTAATATTCGTCTTGGCCATTTCCACGTTGTTGCAGTGACGAATGTGTATCTCCCCCTGGTCATTATAGCCGGCACCAGTCACGTCCGCCATGTACCCGTCCGAAGTAATGATAATTGTGGCCGTCATTTCGTTTTTGGTCAGCGTGCCGGTCTTGTCCGAGCAAATGACATTGACACAGCCCAATGTCTCCACGGTGGGCAGCTTCTTGACAATCGCGTTGCGCTTGGCCATGCGCATGACGCCCAGTGCCAGGGTGACAGTCACCACAATGGGCAGACCTTCGGGTATGGCGGCAACGGCCAACGAGACGCTGATGTTGAACATCTCCGAGAGAGGTTTGCCCTGTAGCCAGCCGAGCAGCATGATGACGCCAATAATGAGAAAGGAGTAGAAGCTCAGCTGAGCGCCTAGTATGTCCATCGACTTTTGCAGAGGGGTCTTGGGCGCCTCCTCGGCCTGCATCATCTTGAAGACCTCACCGAATTCGCTGCGCTCGCCCGTGCTGACCACAATGCCCTTGCCATTGCCACATCGGACCAGGGTGCCCATAAAGGCAATGTTCTTCATGTTGCTGTGATCCTTGACGTTAGTATTGTTTAGCAGCACGTCGGTGATCTTGCGTGCCGGCTCCGTTTCACCGGTAAAGCTGCTCTCGTCAATGGAGAGATCGACTGCCTCGAAGAGACGCACATCGGCGGGCACACGATCGCCCACATTGAGATAGACCACATCGCCGGGCACCAGTTCGCGTGCGAGGAATGTGTCGAGGCGTCCCTCGCGCAGGCAATGGCACTCTGGTGGCACCAGCTTCTTCAGCTCCTCCAGACTCTTCTCGGAACGATACTCCTGGATGAAGGCGACCGTAACCACAATGAGAATCGCTATGGTTATGCTGACGGCATCGTCAAACTGTTTCATGATCACCGAGACGAGAGCGGAGCCGAGCAGCAGTAGGATTAGAGGATTCCTAAACTGCTCGATGTACTTCTTCCAAGTCGGATCCTCCTCGATGACATTGAGCTCATTGTGGCCGATGATCTTGGCGCGATATTTTGCCTCTGTCCATTTCAAGCCGGTCCGCACATCTACCTGCAAGCGTCCGGCTACCTCGGAGGCGCTGTGCGTGGATGACTCGGAGGTGGAGAGCAGCATTTCGGGTGTAAGGGTTAGACCCGTCTGTGGGAAAGCCAAGAAAAGTCTCCAATTAACTTACAATATTCACTTTCAAGGTAAATGAATGACAGAAAAAATGCATATTAATAGATCTTCTCAGTGGAGATATGCCTGAGCAGAAAAGTATTTAAATCTATATAATGCATAAGTATATGTTATAGTAAGCTGATCTTAGTGATATGTTTCTCACACAGTAAATAGCCATGAATTACATTTTTTGCTAAACTCTTGGCGATCTCCATTAACTCTTCTGGGTCATGAGCTATATTTACATGTTCATATTAAGGTCCCCCTCTCCTCGTTATTTCCATATTTTTCCCAACACATTGTTCTCATTCTTTTTTTGTTTTATTGTGAATTCAACTTTCATTATGGACGCACTCATAAGTCGTGGGCTATTCTGAATGAATCCAGACATAAAGTTTTCCATTAAGTTTGTCCAAAAACTTTATTGATTTTCCAGTCTTTGGGTGTTCCATTTCATGTTCCTGTTGACCGCAAATGGAAAGCCTTGACAACAGCACATTTTGCCATAGCAACCCGTTCACCACTTGCAGCTAATTTACACTCGCCAACAAGTTTGTAATCATTCATGTCGTTGCACAAAGCCAGACCGACAAACAGACAATGCCCAAGCCGAAACTCTTGCCACATGAGCTCTACCCTCGCCTCCTTAGTTGTCAACATTTGTTATGTGCACCCGGTCTGCCTCTGTCATGTCCAGCTGGCGGGGGTGGGAGTCAACCATCAGCCAGGGTTGCCACCCACTCGTGATTTCGACAAGCAAATGGCTGAATACGTGACTTTCTGGCATTAAAAACGTTTCTTATTTTAATTTATTTTTTTCCTTTTCATATTTTTTTATAGATCTCGCTCCCTTTTTTGGGGGTGCTTGGGCATTGGGAAGTTGTGTCTGGGCTGCATTCATGCAAAATAAATTCAAATTGCGAGTGTGTGTGTGTGTGCGTGTGTGTGTGTGTGCGTGTGTGTGAGAGAGGGAACAGGTCGTAAATTCTGTGCGGCCAATGTGATATGCAGTTGTGTTGGGAGCTTTTGGAATCTCCAGCTTGGGGTTTGGTTTTAATTTGGAGTATTCCCGGATTTAGTTTACTTTTTATTGCCCCACTGTTGCGAACGCACAATAAAATGTAACTCATTGGGAATTCCAACTTGTTCTTCAACTAGTTATTCATAACTTGAGTATTTACCAACCATGCTACCAAGATATTTCTCTGAATATCTAGAGGCTACCTCCGAATTCTGCTTAACCAAATTTACAACCCTATCATTATTCGCCCACTGGCATTTAACTTTGCCCAAATCTCTCAAAGTCCGACAAGCAATCGGGGTAGAGATTCGGACTGCAATCGAAAAGGCCAGACAGAGAACCAAGGTAAAGCATTTAACTATTTAGTGCAAAGGCATTTCATTATGGAAACTATGCTGTGCGCGTTTTAATTAAATGCAATTTTCGATAGCTCCAACTGAAATGGAAACAAATGGGTTATAAATAAAGCGGGCGGGCGTAAATTACACTGTTACATGTTATGCAATGCAGGATTTTCGTGATTGCATAGAAATGAACAAAACTAAATCAGATAGAAGCAAGTGTCTGCCTTATGACAAGTATTACATACCCTTCATACATAATAATTGATGAATGCCTATTGAAGACAACTAGATTTCAATCAAGAATTTCATGATTATTGACTCGACATACTGTTCAAAAGTGTATGCATGTGAGTTTAAAAATTGTTAAAACAGTCATTTCAAATAAACATCACATGTCATAGAAAAATCCTAATACCCTTTGCAAGTGTGTGCATAGAACTGTCACAGATGCAGTTGCGGCAGTGGGAGTTATAATCGGTTTGGTTTATTTAGGCTTCATGCATCATTTAAACGTATAAACTGTGCTGCGGTTGCAAATTAAATACTATGCATGCACATACAGTCAAACCACGCTATAGAGAATCATTCACAAATCAAGCGAAATTGGCAAAGTGTGAGTGCATAAAATGTAGACAGAATGATTGAAACTGCTTTGAAAATTGACAATAAAATATACGAAATATTCGTTGTTTGTTTTAGCGAAGCTCGACTATATTCATTTAATTTTGTGAATTTTTCAACTGTCTGGTTTTTTTGCGGGTTTTAAAGTACTTAGTCAATTGAAATATTTCAGACAGCTAATTGCGAAATTAAATTCAGAGTTTTATGCGAATTTAGCTGCTGGTTTTATCAGATTTGTTGCCAGCCCCCAAGTCCCTCGCGGGCACAAATCCATCAACAAGTCAAGTGCCACATCAGATTGTTTGTCCGATGGCTACTTCAAATTAAAATAGCATCGACAGCAGCCAGACACAGCCCCAAGCTCAATATCAACATAAAAGACCGTCCGTGTTTGGTCTGGAGAGTTTGCCTACTCCGCTTTGTATCAAGTGTTTGTGATACCCTACAAATTGGTTATCTATTTTGACTTGTTACGCATTAGAGCATTTCATGGAATATTTGACATTTTTCACTTAATTGCTGTATGATAAACCTCGAACTATAATATCTTCCAGCTCATAAAATAAAGCTTTCATATAAACAATATTTTTTCTTTATCTTTATAGTTTATTGTCAGAAACTGTTCTGTTAGAAAAGTGTTCTCTGTGAGTATCAGATTTTTACAAATAGTCTGATGAATGAGAAAACTTTTCTCTTTGCATACTCTGTGCACAAACTGAATATTGGTTATTAAAAAATGTTATGTCTACCCTTGCCCCGCGATAGTTTTAGACACTAAACCGCGTTTCTACCTCTATTCAATTATTTATACACTGTAAAAAAAGCTAATGCTTTTGTCTTGTGACTGCGCTATATTTTTTTTGTTTTTTTCACAATATTCCAACTCTTGCGCTGGCCTACATTGAACTTTGGTGTTTTGACAGCTACCACATCCCCTCTAAACCCCACCTGACCCCTGTTGCCATAGTTGCTTTGTGTACTCAGCCGTCAAATACGAAAAAAAAATAGTTTCAGAAAACAACTAAAAGTTGTCTAGTTTTGCGTAGCACAAAAGTCAAATATGTATCTAGTTGCGGCTGTGTCGAGCTTTAAAACGTTTTAGCCAGAATTGAGCTATTTTATCTACTCAATAGACATGGAAAGGTGTTTTCCAGGTTAAACAAAAGACTAGTTTTTGCTATGATAAGCAACCAGAAGTAAACACTTTTGTCACGATTCTAAATTCACTTTTTATTGTACACGTGCAATAAGAATCCTGAATGAGTATATTTGCATGATCTGTCCCTTAACACAACACACTATATTTGTTATGGCATAAGATAATGGCATTTGGCTAATTAATATTAAAATTTCATTAGCACTAGCCGGTTTTGACACTCTGTACGTAAATCTCTAGCTTGAAAATCCGTACCAGTCGGTTCCGATCTTAAAAACCAGCTACTTGTACATAAATTTCACATTATCATACAACTATATTATCCCAGCAAAAATTTTTATTTTCCATTACTTTCAGGTCTAGGGCCATAATGATTAATTGAGCTGATTAGCAATGCAAAACTATAATGATTCGTAATTGAAGCCAAAAAGGCGTGCATGTGAGGCTGATCGGAGGGTCCGATATATTCGAGTGGTTCCCCACGCCAAGAAAACCTTACTTATAACGGGACGTTCACAAAATGCTTGATCATTTCAAAGCAGATATATTTGTATACCTGATCATCGTCAATGTATATGCTTATCGCACGCCTTGTTCTAAGCATCGTTCTAAGCTCCTGCAAGTAAAGCTCTAAAAATATATACATTCTTGGTTTGATACCGACACCGCTTGAGTAGAAGAATCACGCACCATAACCACATCAAAACGAAAACAAAAATACAAAAATAGGTGCTCTAGACGAGAGTGCTCGACTAGTTGATACTCTGTACCAGCTCTGAATTGCTGCGCAGACAGGCATGAACATATGATTGTGAAACATCTATCGATACGAGATAATGAAATCGATATAGATAGGTTTATGGCAAATGATGAGTGGTAAGCACTTGTAGTCCCCAGATGGACGCACGGACGTAAGAATTACTTCCTAGTGTCTGTGCGCAGGTGCACGTAGAACAACATTTAAATTGTGTACAGGGTATAACGAAAGTTGAGTATAAGATGAAGTATACCCACAACCAATAACAATCATAAATGCCACTTACATCAGACGTATTGATGACTATCATTTTGATAAAGCAAAGACGATGACGTCGATGGGATGAATTCTTATCATTAGTGCGGGCTCCGGACCCACTCACTCGACATTTAACAAACGTAGACGACACAAAATAACACGCTAATCAAAACTTTGCAGTGTACTAGGAGTCCAGCAGGGGCCTGTCGAGGTTAGTTTTATTTTAATCAATTTTATTTCTTTAATTGTGAGAGCTTTGCGAACATGAATAATATCGAGGGAGTGCATATATATTTTATTCTAGTACTTTTATATTTTCTATTTTGCACAAGTATTGAAGTACGATTCTCTGGAAACAATGCTAATAATATGTTTTGAAATTTCATTTGACGTAATTGCTTTTGATAAGCACGTTCACGGATTTATGTTTAATAAAATAATAAATGTATATAAATAAAATCTAACGTCTAGTTTTGCTAATGGAATTGCGTATGGAGTTAACGTTAATTAGCATCGCTTGCGATAAACATTTTAACAAACAAGAATTGACTCAAATTATTTTATAGATCATTTTTTATCAGGTTATCATCAGAGCAAAGACAAGAATTTAATTCAAAACGTATGTTGAATATTTTAATCAGGCGACGTGGGTCATTGACAGCTCTCTATGAACCTACGTGCATAGATATTTATAAGCACCTATGGAATTGATTATTCATTTCGCATTAAGAATTTCACTTCAATAACAAAGCGGACAGCGAAATAAACAAATTGTTGTTGTACGGCTGAATCGGAATATGCCACGAAGAGCGTTGCCAA